TGCATATTATAGCTTCTATCACTCCAACTGCAATAGGATTTATGTATTTGATACTATAATGAACTGACAGCAAACATTTCACTATCATTTGCAGAATGACAAAGGCCAGGCCCCAAATTCCCTGAAGAGGAAGACCTGTTCGAGCTGCATCTGCCCTCTTCAGCAGAGCACTCCAGATCTAGATAGTTGGGCATCGGCTGTTAAGGCCAACAAGAACAAACACCGGACCTTGAAGTCTGTCCAGATATCTGTGAGTTTTAATCCCTTCAATGTAACAAGGGGTTTGGCCTCTTACACATGTACATAATAATCATTATGTAAATGGGGGTGGGGGGGCACCAGCCTCATATGTTGTTTTGATTTCAAAAACCCCCTGTCTAGATGTTAAGCGTAGTGGTTTTTCCTCGCTTGCCTCACCAACAGAAACGCTCTCATTTTAAACTTTCCTTTTATATTTTACTTTCTACCATCTTTATTTGCATTGATGACTTTACTCTTGGAATTCACTAAACGTGCCCATCCCTAAAATATAAATGTTACATCTAGTCCATTGCAGCATTGAAACCTCATCTACCACCTCATCTATCTGAGGTTTTAAGTAAATCCTCTGCTGTAGCCCTAAAGTCTTCAAACTAATAACTGTTATTTTTCCTTGGAATTCATTTATTTATTTCAATAATTTATTTGCAATATTTGCAGAGTTGCAAGACAACAGATGCTGGAGCAGGACCAGGACCAGGACACAAAGAGGAATTTGTTCTTCACCTGGTACCTGTTTCAGCTCCGGCTCAGCTGTGCTGTTAGCTGCGCCCTACACAGTGGTTAGCGGATCTCAACGTTCTGATGTGTAGGTCACTTAAGGAGATTGATTAAAAGCGTTTTATTAACAATAATATTAATAGGCTGATATACAGTATATACCACAATAGGTGATGTGTCATCCCCATATTTGTGTGACTATTTTACTGAATTGTAGAATATTTGACTATTTGCGGTCACCCTGTGGGAAAGAAACAGGATTTGGGGGTAATACAATAGATGTGCCCCTGGTCAAAGGGTTGAATTTTATGATAGGAAGAGCCAGGGGGAAGTCACAGATCAAAGGACCATTTGGTGAGAGAGACCTGGATTTACAGGAGTAACATTTGCAAGACAAATTGTTTGTGATGTAATGAGATGTACTGAAATGTATATAAGGGAGAGCATTTTGGAAGTCTGGAGAGAACATTCACTACGTGACCTTCTCTCCATGCTGCATGAATTAAAGTGACTTGATTATCACACCGGCTTGAAAGTTCTTCAGAGACTTAGCACCTCTCAACTTTGAGAAGAATTTCCACTACAACCCCTAGTGTAGTGTAGGGATGGATTGAGGATTCTCCCTGTATAACGAGAGAATCTGCTCTGTACTCTGGTGGTACAGCAGCGAGTACTTGTGTATCTTCTTCCAGATGTCAGCAGTATGAACACTCTGTGGCTAGTGTCTTTTGGCATCCTTTGGGCTCTGTGCAGACATCTCACTTCACTGATAACACTGATGGTCTGTAGATGGTGATGTCCTATGACGTTCTGGAAAGTTTTATTGCCCACTGCAGAGCATTTCTGTCCTGGGATCAGTTGCACCAGATGGACAGACACTCATAACACGCATAAGACAAGGCTTGAAAGAATAGAAAAAATTGAAAGATTACCTATTCTACTCATGTTCAGGTCTTTGCTAATGTCTAAATTGGCATTTTTTTTAACGTCATTCATGGGTCAGAAAAGATGGAGAATCTTAAGAGGTCCACTTTATAATTATAATTAATAATCCTTTCCTATCTGACCATTATTTAATAACTTTTGAATTCATACTATTAGATTATAACCCATTAGGCAAAACTTCCTACAGCAGATGTCTATCTGACAGTGCTGTAGCTAAATTTAAGGAGGAGATTCCTTCAGTGTTCAATTCAATGCCATGTCTGAATTTAACAGAGTCCTATAACGACTTTAGTCCCTCTGAAATTGATAATCTTGTCGATAGTGCTACAGGCTCACTACGATCAACATTAGACTCTATCGCTCCTATAAAAAGGAAATTATTAAAACATAGGAGACTAGCACCGTGGTATAACCACCAAACCCGCCAGTTAAAGCAAATAGCTAGGAAATCTGAAAGGAAATGGCGCTCTTCCAAATTATCAGAATATCGCTCAATTTGGCAAGATAATCTTAAAATTTATAGAAAGGCCCTCTGTAATGCCAGAGGAGCCTATTACTCAGCACTAATAGAAGAAAATAAGAATAACCCTAGGTTCCTCTTCAGCACTGTAGCCAGGCTGACAGAGAGCCACAGCTCTATTGAGCCACATATCCCCATAAACTTAAGTAGCAATGACTTCATGAGCTTCTTCTATAATAAAATTATTACTATTAGAGAGAAAATTAATCACCAACTGCCATCAACAGTTATCGGTGGCTCTCCAAGTTCAGGGACTTTTGCTAATGTAAACTTAGATATATATTTAGACTGTTTTTCTGCTATTGATCTTCATCAGTTAACTTCAATCATTTCTTCATCGAAGCCTTCAACCTGTCTGTTGTTTACTGGATATGATTAATCTTTCTTTATTATCAGGATATGTACCACAGTCCTTTAAAGTAGCTGTAATTAAACCCCTTCTTAAAAAGCCCACTCTTGACCCAGGGGTTTTAGCCAACTATAGACCAATCTCTAACCTCCCCTTCCTCTCTAAGATTCTGGAGAAAGTGGTCGCCAAAGAGTTGTGTGACTTTCTACATAACAATAGTTTATTTGAGGATTTTCAGTCAGGATTTAGAGTTCATCATAGCACAGAGACAGCTCTGGTTAAAGTTAATAATTGATAATAAGTTAATAATTATCTAAATTACAAACATGTCTTAAGGACATAAAATCCTGGATGAGCTGCATTTTTCTGATGTTAAACTCTTGTTTTAATTCTTGTTCTTTGCCCCAAAAACCTTAGAGACTCACTGTCTAAAGATATAGTTACTCTAGATGGCATTACCTTGTCCTCTAGCACCACTGTCAGGAATCTTGGAGTTATCTTTGATCAGGATTCGTCTTTTAACTCCCACATGAAGCAGACCTCTAGGACTGCCTTCTTTCATTTACGTAATATTAGACACATACTATCACGGACAGTTGCAGAAAAACTAATCCATGCATTTGTTACTTCAAGGCTGGATTACTGCAACTCTTTATTATCAGGTTGCCCCAATAAGTCCATTAAAACGCTCCAATTAATTCAGAACGCTGCAGCACGAGTAATGACAGGAACTAGAAAAAGAGATCACATCTCTCCTGTACTAGCTTCTCTGCACTGGCTCCCTGTAAAATGTAGAATAGAATTTAAAATCCTCCTCCTCACCTATAAAGCTCTTCATGGTCAGGCCGCTTCATATCTTAAAGAGCTCATAGTACCCTATTACCCCTCTAGAACACTACGTTCTCTGAATGCTGGGCTACTTGTGGTTCCTATAGTCTCTAAAAGTAGAACATGGTAAATGGACCTGTACTTGTATAGCGCCTTTCTAGTCTTCCGACCACTCAAAGCGCTTTTACACTACGTGCCACATTCACCCTTTCACACACATTCACTCAGTGATGGCAAAGTCCATCGAACAGAAACTATCATTCACACACGGCATCAGGAGCAATTTGGGTTTCAGTATGTTGCTCAAGGATACTTTGACATGTGGCACCCGGAGCCGGGGATCGAACCCACAACCTTCCAATTAAGGAACGACCTGCTCTGCCTCTGAGCCACAGCTGCCACGAACAGGAGTAAGAGCCTTCAGTTACCAAGCTCCTCTCCTGTGGAACCAGCTTCCAGTTGTGGTTCGGGAGGCAGACACCCTCTCCACATTCAAGAGTAGGCTTAAGACGTTCCTGTTTGATAAAGCTTATAGTTAGGGCTGGATCAGGTGAGTCCTGAACCATCCGTTAGTTATGCTGCTATAGGCCTAGACTATCGGGGGATTTCCCATGGTGCACTGAGCTCCTCTCTTCCTCTCTCTTTCTGCACTCATTCATGTTCCATTAATGCATGTTACTAACTTCACTTCTTCCCCGGAGTTCTTGTGCTCTCTCGTCTCGCAGGTTCTTATCGATCCTGGTGGAGCCTCCTGCCATGGTCCTGCTAGGTTGCCATTGCCAATACTGTTGTTGCTGTGCACCTGTCTTTCTGTCTGTCTCTCTTTCTCTCTCTCTCTCTCTCTCACCCCAACTGGTTGAGACAGACGACCACCCACCTAGAGCCGAAGGATCTGTCCTAGGTTTCTGCCTTTTAACAGGCAGTTTTTCCTTGCCCTTGTCGCCAAGTGCTTGCTCATGGTGGTACTGTTGGGTCTCTGTAAATAATGTTATAAAGAGTTCGGTCTAGACCTGCTCTATTTGAAAAGTGTCCTGGGATAACTTCTGTTATGTATTGGCGCTATACAAATAAAATTGAATTGAACTGAATTGAACTTTAACACCTGTTATACCATAATGGCTAGTACTACCTCTGAGACTAAATCATACGCCTAGTCAAATGTAGGTGTAAAGTGGTACGTCCTGAGTAATTTCCAAGGGGACAATTGAAAGATTTTAGGGCACAAGATTTGGGTGAAAAATTACAAAATGTCACGTCTGACATACAGGTTACATAATCAGCAGGCTTTCAGGCTAAAATAATAATGAGAGAGTGCAACAATCAGTTGATTCTATCAGTTTCCCCAAAATTAATTTTACAGCGGGGCTGCCCCCCTTTTAATTATAAGCAGAAGCAGAGCATGCAGAGTGCAGGGTTTCTCGTAGCTGGTTGTAGTTTTAGCTGTAAATATTTATCACTAGGCTGGACGTAGCCAACTCTGATATAGGGTGTGTTGTCTTTCAGGCATAAATTCGAATGAACTTTTATTTTGAAGAGACTCTTATTTTGAAGGGCTTTTGTCTCGCTGGAAAGTTCCTGGTTCACAGGTTGTTTTGGTCAGTAGTTTGAGGAGGCTAGCTGGATTTACACAGCTACATTTCTGTGTTCAACTGCATGTATTCAACACTGTAAACGCCACAGAGGCAATGTTGTAAGTGAATAATTTCATAGTTATATTCATAAGTTAGTGATAAAAATATTATTTACATGAAGAAGGCATTTGATTTATTTGTATTTAAAAACGTTTTATTTACACTTATTTACATGAGAAAAGCACATGTTACAGAGCTAAATGGTAATTTTTATATTTGTCTTTGTTACAGTTTTCACTCTGACCTTGTAAAATGAGAGAAAGAGCCACAGTAAAGAGCAACTAAAGCTTACTACGACTCAAGTCTTCATTTGAGAGGAAGAGTTTAGCTAGTTGTATAGCTGCAGTTGCTACACTGCAGTGAGGACAACATATAGGGCTTATCACCTGTCTAGACCAAACGCGTTTCAGATGTGGTTTTTTTACTTGTGCGTGTCACGGCACACAAACACTCTCATGTTAATCTATGCAGCTGTGTCCACCAACACCGTTGGGCGCGTTTTTTCAGCTTTGCTGTCATAGTTGGTTTTTGGAAATGGATGAATTATTAAATATATTAAGCGATTTCATAGTAGAGATATATTTAAGAACTGTCTCTATCAGAAATGCAAGTTTCCCTCATAACTACTTTATGTTAGTTCTTCATCATTTTTTCCTAATGTCATGCCTTTCAGGGAAGAGAAGAGGTCAAAGTGAGGTGGCAACCATGGTCTAAATGGTAAGCTCTTCCTAAATTACAACAAACAGGTGTGTTGGATGGGGAAAAAAGTATTTATACAGTGCTACAGCAGATATCCTTCCATTTTAATACAGTTTTTTGGCTGAGTACAATTGATTGTTTTATTTAATGCAGTGCGACATAATTGACGACAACCGAAGCAGCTTCTAAGACATGTCACGACATTCTGAGGGAAAGATTAGATGTTAGATTTCTTATTTTCCTCCCACAACTGCTTAAGTTGCATCCATGACACTGAGCAATGGGAACACAGCTGAGAGCGCTCTGCCGGAAGAGACTAGGCCGAGCACATACAGTATATAAACATTGCAAAACGAAACAGCGCTGCTCGCATGTTACTTTAAACTTTAGACTTTATTGTCCCCAAGGGGAAATTCTTTTTCACATCACAATACAGTTATGGAGAGCACACAACATACAGATAATGACAGGACAAACACAACAAGATAACATGCAGACAGATGATATAGACAGAGTGATACCGAAGTGAATTATCTGGGTGTTTTGTTAAGGGCTGCTATGGCTGCAGGTACCAGGCTTTTGCCATAACGAGCCCTCCTGCACAACAGGTACCTGCGTACCAGAGGGGCATAATGGTGAAGTGGCAGTTGAGTGGATGTGTCCTGTGCTATTGTAAATGCGATGCGTGAGATTGCCTTGAGGTTGAGCGCTGACAGTGTGGGTGTGGAGAGACCGATTAGTTTGGTAGCTATGTTTGTGACACGTGTGAGTTTGGCCCGGTTTGTAACAGAAAGCATGTTGAAGAAGCAGGTGGAACAGTAGAGCAGGATGGGTTAAACAATACTATGATACAACAGTAGGAGGAGATGGTGGGAAAACATAGAGTCCTTTAAGTTTATGGATGACATACAGTCTTTGATGGCTCCTTTTCTGAACGTCCGTTGTGTGCTGGTCAAAAGTGACTTTATTGTCTAATGTGAGTCCGAGGTATTTGAAGCTGTCAACTGTTTCAACGGGCTTGTTGTTGATGAGAATGAGGTGCTGTGGATATGGGATATTTAATGTTATTTCTTTTGTTTTGGCTACATTGAGATGGAGGACGTTTTGTTTACACCAGTGGGAGAAATGTGCGACAGTGTTGTGGTAGTCTAATACAGAGTTATTGTACGATAGGAGAGGGAGGATGGCAGTGTCGTCAGACTATTTGAGGTAGGTGGTGGTGGGAGAGGGGCTGGTGCAGTTATTGGTGTACAGGTTGTAGAGGAAAGGGCTTAGCACACAGCCCTGGGGGGCTCTGAGTTTGGTGATGGTTATGTTGTTGTGCCAACCCGAACACCTTGCCGTCTGTAGTTTCCTTTAGGTGGTGTTAAAAGCTGAGTTGAAGTCGACAAAGAGGATCCTGGCGAGATTGCCTGAGGAGTCTAGCTGCTGGAGGACAAGATGCAGCAGGCAGGCGACAGTGTCCTCTGTGCCCCCTTTTTCCCTGTAGGCTAATTGCAGGGGGTCAAATTGATTTTTGACAAACGGGAGGATGGTCTTATTTGTTGTTTTTATATTTTTGGAGCACAAGACAGCCAACAACATACATACCGCATAACGCCAATGTCTATTTACACTAGTGTAGTAGCAACTCTTTCCTGATCTCCTCCGAACGCCGTGGAGGACAGCGGGCGGTTATTGACCAGTGACCAACTTGTAGTCCGTCAAGTCTCTCAGCCCCCATGGCCCTATTCCATCGCTCTATAATCGTTTGACACAGAGACCATTGGAACACACAAAAAGATTGTCTAGTTTGACACCGGCACACAAACACTTTAATTGCTTTTACGATGTATTATAGCATGACAAACTAATATGTAAGACATGTTTAATAAGCAAATTGTCAAAAAAATAATTTTATTATTTCAGAATGAAGGTCATCCTTTAAGCTTTATTTCCTTAATATGAGTTTTCTCTTTCATTTCCTGGGAGTGGCAAGGACTGGGAGGACACGTGGGAGCCAGCTCAACAAATACAAATATAATATTTAGTTCTGTCCTGTTCAGTTTATTTTCATCTTTATGTTATAAATGTATGTATTTTATTTACATGTATCTTATTTTATAATTTTTATTTGTTTGTTCCTTTTTTTTATTTTGTGTGTGTATTACAGTTCTTGTTCACATTAATGTTAGTGTCTGGAGTGCCTACAGTGTATTTAAATTGCCTCATGATGTAATGTTTTTGTCTGTCTTGTTGAAGATAAAAAGTGAAATTGTTCATTTTGTCTTGTTTTTTTACTTAAGCCTTACTAGCCTAAACCTCTGATAGGCCCTATATATAGGATATACAACCAAAAGTTGGTAGCCATCAGATTTATTTTTAGCTTATAAGAAAGTGGTCAACATTGAAATGTAATTGAGACAAATTTGACCTCCAAAACAACACACACCATATATACTGTGTTTTTCTGATCAGGATTACTCAAAGAGAAAAGAAAGGTAAAGAGACAGATCCATATCTTGTGATGGACTGGTTAAATATAAACCATTCATTGTCCAGTGAAGTAGGCCTATGTGTCTCCCTTCCCCATGCACAGCATGTTACTACTATGGCACAGGCCTACTTTCTTTCAAAAGCTTGTATCTTGGTCAATTAAAAAACAACTGTGTTTAAAAATGTAATTGCACACAGAAATACATTCCATTACCATATTATATACTATTGGTTCATCCAGCGCAATCCTGTCAGCCCTGGGGAAGGGGACACAATGTCTATAAATGGTCATATTAAGTAATATGGAAATATTTATATGAAACATTAAGTAGTTTAGGGGGTAAATGGGGTCTAAACTGCTCCAAATTGAAAAGCATGACTAAGGATAAGGTCACCATCAAAATGTTGAACACATTTTGCCACTAAATATCCCTTAAAATATGTTTTAGGGATTTTATCCATTTGGCTCTATATTGGCTGTGAGAAAGTACACATCAAAGTGCCTTTGCAGTGAGCAAGATGAAAATGAAACTTTGTCATAGAATGACAGTGAAAACATCGTTGGAAAGGTCTTGATCTAAGGCACTTTTAAAGGCTTACAGAAAAGCAACACAATGTGATACAAACATGGGGAAAACATTTTTGGAAAGCTCTTGACTTCTTCTATCATGGCCTTTGTCAAACTAACAGGGGGCGCTACTGGGTAGGGTCAAAACATGATTTCACCCAATTAACAATAGTAAAAATTAAATCTGACCAAATAAATGTGCTCCCCAGTCCCTAAAACATATAATACACTTGCGAAGTTCCTTGACACAGTTTCACATAATAGGGAAAACACTTTAGAACTACAAAAACAATTTTTTGATTGATTTTCCGGGTTAGGGTAGGACAGGACAGTCCAGGTGCAGCCATTTTAATTTCTTCAAATGAGAAGAAAACATCTGTGGCATAGATTGTGGCAAAGTGAAGGGTAGCTGGCCAGTATCAGAATCAGAATCAGAATCAGAAATACTTTAATAATCCCAGGGGGAAATTATTTTCGTTACAACACTCCAGATATACAAACGACATATTATACAAACAACATATATATATATATATACATTCAGCACAAAAACATTCAGCACAAAAAATATAAATATATATATAACTATATATATATATATACAAGATCAATGTACAGTATTAATGTGCAAACGTGCAAAATAATCATTGTCTATGTTTTGAGTCAGAATTACAGTCTATATTTCTGTCTGACTCTCTGAGGGAGACGTTGTAAAGATTAATGACCACAGGCAGGAATGATTTCCTGTGGCACTCTGTAGTGCATCTGGGTGAGAGGAGTCTTCTGCTGAAGGTGCTCCTCTGCTGGGCCAGTGTGTCGTAGAGAGGGTGAGAGACATTGTTGGACTGAAGCCTGGACAGCATCCTCCTCTCTGCCACGGTCATCAGAGTGTCCAGCTCCTCCCCTACGACATCACCGGCCCTCCTGATTCAATTCAATTCAATTCAATTCAATTCAATTTTATTTGTATAGCGCCAATTCATAACAGAAGTTATCTCAGGACACTTTTCAAATAGAGCAGGTCTAGACCGAACTCTTTAACATTAATTACAGAGACCCAACAGTACCACCATGAGCAAGCACTTGGCGACAAGGGCAAGGAAAAACTGCCTGTTAAAAGGCAGAAACCTAGGACAGATCCTCCGGCTCTAGGTGGGTGGTCGTCTGTCTCGACCAGTTTGCTTAGTCTGTTGTTGTCTGCGACCCTACTGTGGTCTGCCCGTCAGGTAATCAACAATCCAGGACACGATGGGGGCCTCCACCTGCATCGCAGCCATCTTCTCACCCAGTAGAGCCGGACGGATGGTATTGAAAGCACTGGAGAAATCAAAGAACATGACTCTCACAGTGCTCGCCGGCTTATCCAGATGAGTGTAGACTGTTCAGCAGGTAGATGATGCTGTCCTCAACTGTAGAGCAGGGGGGAGGGGTGGAGTAGGTGGGTGCGAATTGAGGTGGTGAGGAGCAGACAAGGGGTCTGTAAAGCGCCCAGTATACTCGACGCACTCGGGCTGTCGCGCGATAATGTGACGTAGATCTCGCTGGATTTTGGCCCAGTCAGGCCGTGTCGCACACCACTTTTTTTTTTTTCAGCTGCGTGCGACAAACCGGAAACAGGAAGATGGACGATCTGTACGATCCTTCAATAAAGGAGCACAGAGACGCCGGAATTCAGGACATATGCTGGAAAATTTGGAAGAACCTCCGCGACCGATTTGGAAAGAAAAAAAAAACAAAAACTTTTTCTTCTTCTAGTGCGTAGAAATAGCAATGTCGGTAGCCTTTCCTCACTAGCGACACCTCTGTTCAGGAGAAGACTGCAACTAGTGCCGCAACCACCACGCGCAAGTATAGATAGTCACGGTGCTTCCGTGACGTGACGTTGTCGCGCGACAGTTGGTCTGCGTCGAGTATACCGGACGCTTAAGGAGGAGGAGTAGGGGGAGATAAAGTGGCAGTTGTTGGGAAGCCAGCAGCAGAGACTTGTGGGGGATGGGCCGCAGTATCAAACCTATTGAAAAATAGGTTCAGTTCATTGGCCCGGTCGACATGGCCCTCCAACCCCATGCCACCAGTCTTCTGGAACCCAGTGATGGTTCTCATGCCACTCCACACATCCCTCATGTTGTTTCGCTGGAGTTTATTCTCCAGCTTTCTCCTATATTTGTCTTTTGCCTCCCTGATTTTGAGTTTGAGTGCCCCCTGCACTCTCCTCACCTCATCACGGTTGCCATCTCTGAACGCCCTCTTCTTCTCATTCAGGATGGCCTTAATGTCCTTAGTGATCCAAGGTTTATTGTTGGCATAACAGGTTACAGTCCAAGCTGGGACATTTCAGTCCACACAGAAGTTTATATAGTCCGTGATGCACTCTGTCAGCCCATCAAGGTCCTCCCCGTGGGGCTCACAGAGTGCAGGCCAGTCAGTCACTTCAAAGCAGGCCTGCAGTGTCTCATAAGCCTCCTCCGACCACCTCCTCACAGTCCTTGTGGTCGTAGTCTTCCTCTTCACCAGAGGCACATAGCAGGGTTTGAGGTGAACCAGGTTGTGATCTGACCTGCCCAGAGGGGGGAGAGAAGAGGAGATGTATGCATCTTTAATGTTAGCATACATCAGGTCCAGGGTCCTCTCCTCTCTGGTAGGACAGCTCACATATTGTTTGAATGTCGGCAGAACTCTATCCATGGTGACGTGGTTGAAGTCTCCCGACATGATGATGAGGGCACTGGGGTGTTGAGTCTGTAGTTTGGAGATGGTGGTGTGTATGGTACTGCAGGCAGATGTTTGGTTTGCAGAGGGAGGGATGTACAGGACAGCAATGATGAAGTGCGGGATCTCTCTAGGCAGATGGTAAGGACGGACCACCCTTTTGAGGGCCATGAAGTCCTGCCTGGTGCAGTTTCCCATCCAGGTGGTGATACTCCCACTCAAGATGCTCTCGGTGGTACAGGTGTAATAGTTCCTGAGCACCTTAAGAGGGAGCTTAAAGTCTTTGAGGCGTCTGAGGAGGTAGAGACGCTATCTGGCTTTCTTCACAATGGTGTTCAGGTGATGAGTCCATGGCAGGTCCTGTGAGATGGTCACTCCCAGGTATCTGAAATTGTCCACTCTTTCCACCTCAGAGCCACAGATAGTGAGTGGATGGAAGTCCCTCTGCTGTTTCCTGCTGAAGTCCACAATCAGTTCCTTAGTTTTGCTGACGTTCAGCAGGAGGCGGTTCTCCCGACACCAGTCCTCCAGGTGGGAGACCTCCCTCCTCTAGGCTGTCTCATCGTCGTGGGAGATTAGTCCTACAACAGCGGTGTCGTCAGCAAACTTGATGATGATGTTGGAGTCAGACGTGGCCACGCAGTCCTGTGTGTACAGCGAATACAGCAGAGGGCAACAGAGAGCACACAACCCTGGGGGGATCCAGTGTTGAGAGTCAGGGGGGCTGAAGTGTAGTGACCCACTCGAACCACCTGTGGTCCGCCAGTCAGGAAGCTGTAGAGCCACCTGCACAGGGCGGAGTCCAGACCCAGGTCAAACAGTTTGGAGGCCAGTCTAGAGGGGACTATAGTATTACATGCTGAGCTGTAGTCAACAAACAGCACTCTCACATAGTTTCCCTTACCAGTGTCCACATGGGAAAGGGTCTTGTGGAGGAGGAAGGTTATGGCGTCATCTGTGGATCTGTCCGGCCGGTATGCGAACTGTAGTGGATCCAGGGTGGTGGGCAGTGTAGAGGTGGTAAATGTCTTGATCAATCTTTCAAAACATTTCATCACCACAGATGTGAGGGCTATGGGCCTGAAGTCTGGTAAGCACAGGGACAGTGATAGAGAGAGAATGTTAGAGTGAGTGAGAGAGAGGGAGAGAACGGCTAACAGGTAAAAGCAAGGACAGGTTAACAAGAAAGACGTGGCTCTAAAAAGTGCCTTTGGGTTGTTTTCTTTTCAGTAAAACAGGAAAGTTTGCAGGATCCGTTGAGAAAAGAGAGAGCAGAATTGGGAACTCAAACCTGGATGAGATACAGTACAGATTGTATTATCATAATTGACAAATAAAAGGTACCATTTCATTTGAAGGTATATGTAGGCTAGGTCTATGCTAGGTCACTGTGCAAAATAATCACAGCCTCCAATCATTACAACAAGGGAAGGGTGGCAGTAGGGAAGTGGTTTTGACAGAAGGGGTAGGATAAAGAAGTAGTTGCTGCCCATGTGATTTTGCCCT